CACTAGGTATGCTGTGAGGGGTAGAGTGTGATCTCAACCACTGGGTTGAAGGAGCATGGGGAAGCTTGGTGAGTGAAGAAGGCTTGGCAAAATGGAACTGGTCCTTTCTAATTTATGCCTAATGGAGGAGTGTTCTGAAAACCTTTGTCCCCAAGTATTCTCAGCAAGTCTTGTCTTTTTTTTTTTTTTTTTAGATTTTATTTATTTGACAGAGCACGCACAAGCAGGGGAGTGGCAGGCAGAGGGAGAAGCAGGCTCCCCGCTGAGCAAGGAGGCTGATGCGAGGTTCAATCCCACGACCCTGGGATCATGACCTGAGGCGGAGGCAGACACCCAACTGACTGAGCGACCCAGGCGCCCCTCAGCAAATCTTTTGGACAGGGTTGTTGCAGAGATTTGGGCTGTCTTTTAAACTACTGTGAAGGGTTGAATGAAGGTTCAGCATTTGGTTTTGAAAGTAACACAGATTTGGGGTGCAAATATTTGAAGTCAAGACTGAACTTATCCCTCTTCACTGTAGCTTTTTTCTCTAGCCAATACCTAACAATTCCAGTTAGCTTGATCGGAGAGCTGAAGTTGAGCCATTTTATCATTTTACTGAATTGTTCTGCTTCTTTGGCTGTGGATGGTTCCTCTATAGGAATTTGATCTGTTTGTGGCCTCTACTGGTCTGTTATGAGAACTCCAATCTCAACAGGAATGGCACAAATGCCCCACCTAGCTGCATCATTTATGTACAAATTCATACAGAGTATCCTGCATCATTCTTCCGCTTCTCCTTAAAATGATCTATGTTCTCAGTTGTAGGCTACGGCTTTCCCTAAAGCTAGAATATTTATTTTCTGTGTGTGGTTAAATTTTTGTTTCATTATACAAGCTCTAAGGTTTAAATGAGGAAGAATTTACTACCACTGCAAAATGGAATGGAAAAAAGATGCTCTACGTGACATCAGCATCTGTTTTTCTTTTTCTGACTTAATATTTTATTTCTCCTTCTTGCTTCGTTTAATGACCTTGTATTTTACCTTTGACCTTAAACGTCCCTCTATTTCCACTTCCTCCTCTTTTTCTTCATCTTTGCTTTTCACTTCTAGATCTCCTCTGTGTTATTTCTTACGAACACAGGCCTAATCAACAAACTGTACCTAAGTCTAGCATTTGCATTCTCAAATTCAGAGGTTTAAAAGTTCTATATGAATTTAAATTTTCAATTGGATTAATGTAAATTATAAGGAAACTTGCTATTTAAAAAACACTATTGTACTTACATTATTGTACTATTTTGTGCTGTGTGGGCTCTTTGGGGGCATGAGTACTAACCAGTCTCTCACATGGAATTTGTGTTTTCATATATTTGTGTAAGATGAGGTAAACATTCCTCATTTTAATTGCTCCAGATTCTTGTTTTTTTCCTGAACTCTAATGACCGATTTTTTATTTATCTTTCCCTACACATCTTTAAAACTTTGCGTCAGACTTCCATTCACTTCCTTTAGGCTTATTAAGCTTGCCCTCGCTAAACTCACCCCCGCACTCAACCCCCTTAAACCTGATTGTTATTTTGCTTTTTTAAATAGGGTGTGTATTGTGCACATATATAGATCAATTTGTGTGTGTCCTTTTTGAAATCTTACTGAAGCATACAGCTTCTTCATTGTTTGTGCCTTTAAATTGCTGTGGCACTTTTCCCCAGATTTGTGCATACTGATCTCTTTGTTGTTGTGCAACCAGTCACAAAGAGGTGCCTACCTCTCTAGATTTGGATTATAATTAAATGTAAATTAGTAAAGTAATGTCAACCTCAGGGCTAAATCTACAGGTTAACTCTTTTTCTCTAAGAAGTTTAGCACATAGTATCCCCTGACCTATTAATTTTCAACCGCCCTCCCCCCGCCTCCCCGAGAGTGTATTCTTGTTTTGGTGGTAAAGAATAGTTGATACAATATATACTTTGGTGTCAGATAAGTCTCTGTTCAAATCTTGCTCTTCCTAGATGTGACCTTGGACAAAATATTCTCTTAAACCTCAACTTTCTCATCTTAAAAAGGAGATCATACTTAATTCATATGATTGTTTGGGAGATTAAAAAGGATATTGAGTATAAAACACAGTTTTGTATTTAGTACCCTTATCCAATTGCTCAATAAATTTAGGATTACAAAATCACCTCTATGTGTAGGGACATAACTGCAAGACAGATTTGTAAGCTGCCCAAGACATAAAATCTAAACTTTGGTTTTCATATGTCTTTTCTTCCTGTTCTGCTTTGACATTTTTGTCCCTAAAACAAACCACCCATTCGTGAGTTGTGTATTCTGAGCTGGTTCATACATATGTTACAGTGTGGTTTGGAACAAAGCAGTAACATTTAGATTTAGACATCAAAGGCTATTAGCATTTCTTTTCACTTTGTTTTTGTAGTTTCTATTCTGCATTTGAGCTTCCTGGTCATTTGCCCTCTATAGGCTCTGCTTAGGCAGGGGGCAGAATTGCAATTATGGGCAAACTGGCACTATTACTTATCTAGTGATTCTACTAAGACAATGAAATGTGGTGAATAAGTGACTCTGTGATATGTAGTTGTGATGTTTGTTACAGGTCCAGGTGATCTCCTGACTGATACAGAGCTTATTGCCAAATTGGATTCTACTGTGTTTTCAAAGGGTGTGCTAACTTTGGTTTGGCTATCTTCTAATTTGGTGTCATTAACCTACTAATCGTGGGCATTGAGGCTGATGGTACCCTGATGAATTTCTGTGACTCAAACTGTGGATGCGTGGGCATATGAGACACTTTTTTAGCCTAACCAACATGGCCTTTTGGCTATTATTTTGTAATTCCACTCACTGATTCTATAGAGTTGTCTGGGGCTTTCTCTTTTTGTTATCTGTGTGTCCAGGAAAGACAGAATCATGAACATTTACATAGCACTGACTATACTGTAAACATACTATTTAATGTTCATGAAACCCTATGAAATACATACTGTCCTCCCCATTTTGCAGATGAGGAAGCTAAGGCACAGGGAAGTTACATACCTTGCCAAGGGTCATACTACAACTGAGTGGAGGGATGGGTTTGTATTCAGGCAGTCTGGCTCTGGATTACATGTTATATCGTACCTAAATTTCAGCAGATAGGGAGATGATCAGTGCATGGTACGCTAAGGACTGCTTTTTTGTGATCTGCTTTTTCATCTCGCACTGTTGTTTCCTGGCCTCATGGAGCCTCTGATGTCACCTAGGTGAGAGGACTGGAATCTTTGGCATTTTGTCCAAGTTAGCCTACTTCTCAGTTCATAAACTGAGATGGCTTGGTAACCAGCAGATCTGGCTCCATAGTTCGTGGTTGCAGTGAAAAGTACACTAGGCTATGGAACCAGCCTGAGTTTAAGTCCTGCCATCCATCCAATAAATATCCAGTAAATATCTAGTGAGTTCCTAAATGTCAAATATCAGGCTTTGTACGGGGTGCATGATACAGTAAACAAAGCAATTCCTTGCTGTCATGGAATTTAGTCAAGTGAGAGAAGACTGAAAAATATACATCAGGTGGTAAATGCTAAGAAGATATATAAGCCAAGGGGATAGAGACTAAGGGGAAGCACCATTTTAGAAAAATGGTTAAGGAAAATCTGATACGGGGACATTTGAGCAAATAATTAAGTGATGGAGTACGTATGTGGCCTGCTAGGGAAAAGGCCCTGAGGTGAGAGCTTGATCGTTGAAGGAACTGCAAGGAGGCCAATGGGCCAATGTAGTTAAAACGGAATACAGGAGGGGAAAAGTAGAAGGAAACAAGATGGATGACAGGGTGGGGGGTGGTGAGGGTAGTAGGGAGAGGGGATGTACCTACCTATATGTGGTAGAGCCTTATAAGTCAAAGAAGAGACCTATACTCGTATTCTGAGTGAGACTGGAAGCCGAGGCTGGGTGTCCTTGACAAATGACATATAACTTATGACTTCTGAGTCTTCGTTTATCCCATCTTAAAAATGAGTTGCAAAGTTGTGAAGATCAGAGATCATGTAAGAATATTTTTGATAGGAAACACATCAACCAGTCAATACATATTACGATAACTCAATACATTGTATTTTCTTCTCTATACCTTGGGCAGGCTGCAGCATGTTATGCTGCTTAAGACGAAGCTCCCATGGGCGAGCATAAGGGGGATTATGTTCTTTAGGCATGCGGGTGTGGTCCTGGCGAAAGGAAAAGGGGAGTTTTAGAGGCAGATTCGTTTAGTCATTGAAAATCTGTGGCTGAGGCTGTCCCCCTTCCTGTTCAAAGGGCTGCAGCGGCGCCAAACTCGCTTTCCCAGGTTCCACTGCAGCAGAGACCCCGCCTCCAGAGCCCGTCTGCAGACGACTTTCGGCTCTGCGCCGGTCGCCGCCTCCAATTCCCGGCATGCCGCGGGCGTGGGGCTGGCACGTAGACTCCATTTCCCAGCTTGCCCCGGGGCTCGGTCAGGACGTGCCGGCGCCTATAAGAGCCAGAGCGCTGCGGCCGGAGCCTATTGTTAGCCGGAGCCGGGGCGGTTCTGGGCGTCTGCTACCGGGGGCGCCCGAGTTGCTGGAGCCGCCCGCCCTCCGCCGCCTGCCGGCCGACCTGCCCACCCGCCCTCCCTCCCAGCCCTGCCGCCCTGGGAACTCCCCGACCGTCGCCGCGGGCCCGGGACTCGCTATCTCCTCTCTCCTTCCCACCCGGGCTAGGGCGGCGGCGGCGGCGGCAGCGGGGGCGGCAGAGATCATCACGGGAGGAGGCAGCTGCGGCGGGGCCGGTAATGGGCCTGGGGGTGCGGGGCGGAGGGTGCCGCCTCGTCCTTTCTCGGGATCGGCCCTCGGGCGGCTGTGGAGGAGTGGTCAACCCAGAGCAGCGCGGATGGAGGGGTCAGAAATGAGGGAGGCTCGGACGGGAGCGGTCGGGGGGCGGGGAGCCAGGGCGCCGCCGGGAAGGGAAAGAGTCGGGAGAGGCGTGGGAGCTAGGGGCACGGAGGACGCGGGCCCGGACTGCGGGGGCAGCTCGGGGGAGACCGATGGGCGGCTTGGAAGCTGGCAGGATTGCGGATGAGGGTTGAGTTCGGAATGGAGTGGAGATGATGTAGGATGGAGGGAAGTGAAGGAAGGGGAGGGCGGATAGAGGAAAATGTGGGAGGAGTGGTTGGGAATTTGTGAGTAGCAGGCAGGAAAGGATGAGGAAGGCTGGGCAGGGGCTGCAGACGATTGGAATGAGCGGGAAGGTTAGCAGGAATCAGAGACATGGGCCGGGAGCTGAAGGGTTCAGCAGGGGTGTCCATTAAAGGGAACTGATGCCTTCATGTCCTTTCAGCTCCGGTTCCTGATGTCTCCCATTTTTCTGGCGTTGTGGGAGAAAACGAAAGCATCACTTGCCCTGGTTGCTAGCTTGATCATTTTTCACAGGCCCAAACATGCAGCTGACTGCCATCCATCCCTCTTAGTGCCATGGTCTTGATTTAGCCTTTTAAAGGGGTTAGAGTGGCAGTGTGACACACAAATCGTTCTTCAATATGAAATGTTAGAAGTTCTCCCCAAGAGACACAGTGTCCTCTTGTTCTGCAGTTTTCAGTTTAAGGTAAAGCCATAGTTGATTCAGATTTTCATTTTTTCTGACTTTACATCTTGCTAATCTCCAAAGCCAGGAGGATGTTGGTGTGTGCCAGAGTTATAAATGACTGGATATCCTTGAGAGTTAATGGTTCCTGCAGCATCACGTTCCCGGTCTCCCACAAAGATCTTGTGTCCTCCCTACCACGGTAGTTCAGACATGGAAAGCCAAATTCTAACCGTGTGTTAGTGAATGGGTAAAAAAACAAAAAACGGAGTGAGGGTTAGAGGGCTTCCTTAAAATACCTAGTTTAAACCGTATGTTTGCACTCAAGCACTTTCTGAGTTCATGATCCTGGTAATCACAAGGACACATGGATCCATGAAATTCATAGTATTTTGAGAATCAACTGCAATATCTTGTAAAAGGGGAAACAGGTCAGGTCATCTTACTCAGGTTTATCCAAACACTTAGCAGCAAGGCTGCCTTCTTCCTCTAACCCAGCTACAGAAGATAACCCCGACAATCTTACCAGAGATTTTGGTCCCTTGACCTTTAGCAGAAGGCTGGGTTCCAGTGGAGTGAAGAGGCTTTCTCCTGTGAGATATACCTTGTCTTATTATTTTATACTCAAGAAAGAGGCTTTCATTACCCAAACTTTGCAAATACACTTTGAATCCACAGGATTTTTTTCTGGGCAGTCCCTCTTTTGCTAGTCTCACATAAGCTGTAGTTTTTATTTTGTTTTGTTTTTTGGGAGGTTGTAATAGGAATCCTACAGGTCTGAAAAGGCTTAGCTCTAGTACTAAAATGCACATACGCTATAGATCTTTATTTGGTTCTAGCCTCGTATCTTCTGTATACTGTGGATATGCTTTATTTCATAACACCTTTGGGAAACATTCAGCTAGAAACACTTGAGAAAAGACCATAAGGCATGTAGCCAGAAAGTGTCAGCTGACCTTTCATTTCACTGGCATTAAAAAGCTTTTATAGGGGTTTGCATTATTTTCTCCAAAAGCGTTTGTTGTTTGAGTTGGTCATTTTGACAGTTAACTGTCAGTTACGGCCTGCATTTCCAGTCTCACCTTCATTATTTCTGTATGGGTTTAAATGGTTGGAGTATAACTCACAGTGTTTCTCTTGAACACAGGCATTGATCCTCTGCCAGTGAATGGTTGAGAGAGGTGGGAATGACTGATTTCAAAATGTGGTTTGAAGAGAGGTTGATGTGATGAACTGGAAAGTGTGGGACCTATTCTAGTTGTTTCTGTTGCAAAGAAAGTTCTCTTCAGGCCACTGTGGAAGTGGATGGGAGGTTTGTTGTTGGTGCCCAGTGAGTATCTTTTTCTGACAAGTCAAGTTCACACCAGAGTTGGACAAGGAAGGCTGGGTTGAAATTTAAATTTATACTGGTTGTCAGGACAGAATTGATGGATTATATATATATATATATAGTGGAATGAACGTCAGAGAAAGTGATGCAGACAGATCCTGGGTAGGGTGAGGAGAGCTCAGTCAGTATGCACATTACTTACCTATAGCCAATGGGTTCAGATGATTCTTTGGCATTTTAAGGAAAATACCTTTCTCCTAGGATTCACATCTTTTTTCTTTTCTTTTCTTTCTTTCTTTTTTTTCCCTCTTTCTTACCTCCCTCTTATCATTGCCCAGAAGCCACTATTCCAGGAGTGGAAGTGGGGAAGACATAGAGAAAAGGGTTGAAGGAGAATGGAGCAGCCAGCAATCCTTGCTGCACCAGAAGAAGTGATATCCCTGAGGGCAGCTGGGTTAAGACAGAATTTTAATAATAAAGATGATTTTGGACCAAACCCAACCTCATGCAGGGCTTAAAGAGAAATATTCAAAGGGAAGCCACACTACTGGAAGCAAAGGGACACTGGAAGAAAGAACAGGACTGCACATTTGCCTCCAGTCATGAAGCCCTGTATGCTTCCAGACTGAGGAAAAATCCACTTTCCCAGTAGCAACACTGGACATCTCAGTTAAAACTGAATTGGACTTAGGCCCTTTCTGAGAAAGCAGATTTTCAGCTCAGTCTGAGTTTTCATGTGGTTTATAAAGTTTTTTTTAAGTGGGGAGGAAAAATTCAATTCGGTGGTCAACGTTATTCTCTTTTTTATCCCACCCACATAAGTTCTCAATTGTAAAGATTACCGACCCCCATCATCGAATGGAATGAGAAATTTGTTAGTTAAGAGGTATCTTTAAACCCAGCTGAAATCTTACCCCATTAAAAGGTCCTTGGCTCTCTCTATTCTTAATATGTCCTAGGAATGTGACCTCTAATGATAAGATCAGTAACCTGAAGAACGGAATTGACACTTTGGGTTCCTTTTTAAATTTAATTACAAGTACTTGATTTTTTTTTTTTCTTCCCTGGCCAAATTTATTTCAGGAATATGCTTGTCTGAGACCTACGATGGCTGAGGTTTCTTAGGTACATCTTGTGACTCGAATGCAGAATCCTGATGAGATCTGGGTAGATAGATCAGGAAATATCTTCCCTCGAGTACTTACTAGGTCTGGTTGACTCTGTAGAGCTGACCCAAGAGCAGGCAGATTGCTTCCGAGAGACACAGTCCAGCAGACCAGCTCTGTAGCAGGCAGCTCTTGACACCACAGTATATTCTGGGCAGCTGCTGTGCAGTAACGCAGCCCTGTCTTTCTGGGCAGTGTTGTTATTCCTGCTGCATAATTAGCAACTAGTGAGATCATAGTCTGCGGAGATTCTGGCATTAGTGAGGCAAAGCAGGGAGGCTTCATGTCATCCCATGTGGCTCCGCCTCTGACAGCATTTCTGTCAAGCAGATTCATCTTCTTGGGAACTTAAGTCCAAAGGTGGAGAAGGAGAAAGATTTGTCCCTGGGAAGTGGACTCTCCCGGACTCATGTGTGTGCGTGACGTGTTGAAAGCTCTGCCTGCCATATTGACGACACCAGAGTCAACTGTCACTTCTTTTGCTATTTGTTTTCCCCTTGCCGGCTTCTTTACGGAGGGCTAAGATGGTGACTCTAGGTTTTCCTCGCACACGGGTCGATGATAGGCCAGCTGAGCCCTATTTTACGGAGCTCTATGAGATTGGAAAAGAGTCTGGGTTTTGAAGGCAGCGCAGATTCTAATCTTCAGTCCATTCTTTAGAACTGAATTTGACCCTTCTAGGAGCCTGGCGAGAAAGGTCACCCTTGCGAAGATCTGGATAAATTGTTTCCCTGGCTTCTGATATACTCTGAACCTTAGATCCTAGAGCAGTATTTCCCAAAGTGCGTTCCAAGAATCACCTGCCCCCCTGAGACACTCTGGAAACAAAGCGCTCCATAATCGGGTGTGGGGACCCCTGCGCTATGTTTGCTCTCACCCTTCGCCATGCTCATTAGCAGCTAGTTTAAAGCCTCCAAGCTGCCCTCTCATAAGCACTTTGCTAAGCTATTTGGACACAGAGGTCCTATTTCCATGTAAAGCTATTAATATCCATGGAACTAGTTGATTTAATATATACACTTTGGGAAAAGCCAGGCTAAATTTTCACTAGGAAAAATAATTGGATCTAGTCTAGGTTTAGGCACAGCCTAATTCTGCCTGTGGTCCCCAGTCCCTCCTGCTGGCCCCTTGGAGAGCGCTCCTGTGTGAGCACAGGAGAGCTACCATTATCCCCGGGCTAATGAAACCCAGAGCCCAGCTGGCTTGGAGCCAGAGGCCTTCACTCTGCTCGGAAAGGTGCCACTGTTACTCATCTCATTATTCTGTGAGTGACTGAGACTGGAGGGGCTGAAGGGAAGTAAAAGTAGGAGAACGTTGGCCAGAGTAAGTAGAGAAATGACCTAGTCTCGCGAGACCGGACATCAGTGCTAGCTCAGGGGCTGACTTACTTCATTTGGAGAGCTGTGCGTATAGACTCGGGAGGGGTCTGGCTCAGGACAGGAATGCTGATTCCTCCTTTTCCCCTGGGCAGAATCCTAATGTACCTGGCTAACTGGTGGTGAGCAGGGGCTTTGGGGCCAACGTGGTGGGCTCCCCAAGGAAACCCCTTTGAAACCAATGGATGCATTCACGGGCTCGAGTCTCAAGAGGAAGTTTGATGATGTGGATGTGGGCTCATCAGTTTCCAACTCAGATGATGAGATCTCCAGCAGTGACAGTGCTGACAGCTGTGACAGCCTCAATCCTCCTACAGCTGCCAGCTTCACGCGTGAGTGAGCCCCTCCACCCCCTGCCTCCGCCCACGTCCTCTGAGTGGCAGAGCCCACTGCAGTTCTTGAGACAGCTTCTCTCCGCCTGGGGGCTTTTCCACTCTTGGCCCAACCTCACTCTTTGGAGGACTTTATCGCTCTAATATCATAGACCTAGGTCCGACTTATTCTAGCTGATTTTTTCCTATGCTGTGGTTTATAGGTCCCCAGAATGGGCTGAATTAAACTGAAGAAGGAGAAGTCCAGGATTCTCCCCTTACCCACCAGAGTCCCACACAATTGTAGCTCTGGAAGGACGTAAATGCGGCCTGGACAACCAGGGCAGCTCCAGATTTCTTAATTCTAATGGTTCCGTTAATTTCTTGGAAAGAACTTCTGATTCTGTAGATCAGAAGTTGCCTATGGACCAGATCTGGCCCACTGCCCATTTTTATAAATAAAGTTTTAATGGCACACCGCCACACACACTGTAATTGCTTTCATGCTGCGGTGGCAGAGTTGAGTAGTTGCCAGAGACCTCATGGCCCGCAGAGCCTGAAGTATTTGCTGTCTGGCCCTTTAAAGAAGAAGTACACCACCCCCAGCTATAGATTACACTGTCCAGAAGAATTTTCTGTTATGACAGAAATGTTCTATATCTGCACCGCCCAGTATGGTAGCCATTAGCCATATGTAGCTATGAGCATTTGAAATGCGATCGGTGTAACTGAGGAGCTGAATTTTACATTTTATTTTGAATTATTATTTTAAATTGCCACATGTGGCTAGGGGTTGTCGTATTGGACAGTGAAGCCATATAGATGGTTATACCCTGAAAAGATCACCTAGAGATCCTCTTCCCAGCTGATGTCTAAAGTTAGCTCTTGTGGTCATCCGTCTGGGTGGAGTCAGTCTGGAGGCAGTGGTACGGACCAGCCGATGTTCGGGGTCCTTCCCGGCTGTGCATGGATGGTGGGAAGATAGCAGGGTCTCGAGGTACAGAGAGCACGTTGGACAAGAGTTGAGAACGAACAGGGGCCCCAGGCTGGCCGTTTCGGGCTTGGTAAAACTGCTCTGTGCTCCTTCTCAGCCACATCCATCCTCAAGCGGCAGAAGCAGCTGCGGAGGAAGAACGTACGCTTTGACCAGGTGACCGTGTACTACTTTGCCCGGCGCCAGGGTTTCACCAGTGTGCCCAGCCAGGGTGGCAGCTCGCTGGGCATGGCCCAGCGCCATAACTCCGTACGCAGCTACACGCTCTGTGAGTTTGCTCAGGAGCAGGAGGTGAACCACCGGGAGATTCTTCGTGAGCACCTGAAGGAGGAGAAACTCCATGCCAAGAAGATGAAGGTGCCTAAGGGGTCTGGGGTCTGGGTACTTAACTGTGTGCCAAGATGAAGTGGGAAACTGTCCTGGGCTCCTGATGATTTATTTATTCTTTTTAATTTGACTGTTGCCCTTGGCATGTAGAGATTCCAGCGAGAACTGTGAAGCCTCGGGTTTGGAATCACATCTCAGTCTGAGACGCCATTCTTTTTGCCTCTGGTGGGGAGTCTACACAAGAGAGCAAAATGGCTTCCCTAGAATTCCCTACCCTCGCCGCCTCAGCATATTTTTTAAAAGTTTAAGGTGCAAATACCTGAAGACATTCAAGTCCGCCACCCTTGGAACCCGAGGAGGCACACTGTTTCAGTTTCTTGTCACATGACTGTCTGTTGTCCCCGTGCACAGAACAGGTTTTCTCCGACAGACCCTGCTGTTTCTGTAACCCCCGTCACCTCTAGGTGGTGGTCTTTTGGGTGTAAACAACAGCATTACCAAATAGCTCTTTCGGTTTCGGTGGTACTGGGCCTGCCATCTGATGCCACACCAGCTCTTCCAAGTTTAGGAGGAGAGTGGGGCCGCAAGACGACCCATCTCTACCAGGATGGCTCTTTACGGCTACCCATCTGCTCTCGGCACTGCTTGGCATGCCACAGCCATACTTCTTACCCGGCCTCAGAAATCCCCCCCAAGTTCCTAGTTCCAGATTTGGAGGACACTGCTTTCGGCCCGGCCAAGTTTCTTGTGGGCCCAAAGCTGCATTATTTCCAGGGTTGTGGGTGAAATCCTAACGGGCCACACCAGAATGAGCTGTGGTTGGAGAACTGAGGGCAGAGGATGTGGACTAAGGGCACGTCACTCCTTTCTCCGTCTGACAGCTATGTCTCCTTCCCGCAGCCTAGCCCCAGAGCCTCCCACCTGTTTTTCTAACTGGAATGACATTGAGGCGTCCCTTTCTTGTGTCTGAGGAATTCCGTCACTGACCCTATCACCTTCCTGCTGCCATAGCAACAGCGGGGGAAATAAACACTGTTCTCATCATTTACAGTGCAGGCTTCTCCTTTGCCTAGAAGAATCTCCTTCCTAGATCCGGTAGAGGGATGACCTGTGAAAGCGCAATTCCATCCTGTTCTGTGGCCTCCCTTGTCAGAGGTCTAGGGACAAGCTAGGCAGGCTCAAGGCTGACACAGGACGCCCACTCCGTAGCCGATTTAGTGAGCAGCGGCAGTAGTGAAAACTAATACATCTTTCTGTGTCAAGAGAAAACCCTTACTTTGCCCTCCCCGGGTTGTCTTCTCTTTTCTTAGAAATCTTTCCTATCTTTAGTACTCTCCAGGGGAAGCTGTTGATCTAAGAAATACATCTTTCGCATCTCCCATGCGCCATCTAATATTTTCCTTTTTAGGCTGTCCCCCCCGCCAGCCCTCCCCAGAAAAGCTCCTGGTGCTCTGTAGCTTTAATGACCTATACTTTTTCTAATACTTTCATTATTTTTTTTTAAATTTTGGCCTTTTATTCACATGGAATTCATTATTAAGGGTAGTATGACTTGGGAATCCAACTTTACTGATTTATTTTTCAGAAGAATATCCACTTACCCCAATATCATTTAATGACCACAGGACTCTCTTTCTCACTTGATTTGAAATGCCGCCTCTATCGTGTTATACGAATACGTGGGTTTCTTCCTATTGCATCTCTGATCTCTTTCCCTTGAGAGGACGGCAGGAGGGAGGGTGCTTAGGAGGGGGCCATCCCCGGCAAAACAGGTGGGAGCAGTCCCAAGGTCAGCAGAAGGGCCCCTCACCGTGAGTCCACCTGGTACATAAATAACAGACCAGGAAACGCCCAGAAGCACCACCGTATTTGTCCCCTCTCTCTCCCACTTCCCCACAAACAAACAAAAACAGGTGTGGAGCTGATTAGCCGAATCTGTTGCATCATCTCTCTCCCAGGAGTTGTTCCTTTACTAGCACTAATCCGTGGCTGGGTCTGATGAAATAAACCAGCCCCTCCAGGAGCTTGGCTCTCATCCTCCTAGTAGCTTCCAGAGCTCTGGGAATCACGAAGTCTCGTTTTCTTTCCTTGAATTCTCCAGTGAGTTTTCAAAACTCATTCAGCCAGATTGTCTTCAACCTGTCCTGCCACGAAGACTCCTTTTCCTGGTTCTCTGTCCTTCTTAGCCCAGAGAACCCAGATTTCTGCCCATAGATAGTACCTCAGTATTATATATGCCACCCTACTTCACAGACAGCTTTTCTCTGAAATCAAAGAAAAAGAAAGGAGAACGAATATATTCTAGGCTATGGGTTGGAAGTGAGGGCTCTCTTTGATAGCTGTTAAATAATTTGGTCATTTTTTACTCCTCCCAGTGAAATGAAGCTCTTCTTGTGTATGCAGATAATTCTTCACACTGTGGGGATTCAGGTTCATTGACAAAGACCTGGTAGCCTTGTACTGCACTTTAGTGTACTCTTCTTCCCAGAATGTGGTTTTGGGTCCTTTGGGGTGCAGAGGGAAGGGTGTTTTGCAAGGTTATCTGTACATCCAAGGAACGTGCAGCCATTGATAGACCTCCTCCCTGTGTTAGAAGGCAAGTTAGCTGAAGGCACAGGACACAGGTCTGGGGATGGAGGGTATGTCTGTCTTCTAGGAGGGAAGATGAGATACGGGCTTTGAGAAACTTTGATCTGGAAAGGTGATAGGCCCTGTGTTGACAGGGAGGTGTTAGAGCCACATAAGCCTTCCTGCCTTCCTGCTCTACATTTATTCTCTTCAACTATCCAGTGTGGGAGCGACTAGCCACATGTGGCTACTTATACTTAATTAAAACAAAATAAAATTAAAAAGGTCCCCTTCTGCTCCGCATTAGCCTCACGTACAGTGCTCATCAGCCACGTGTGCTACGAGCAGCCCGGATCTTGCCCTCCTCGCAGGAAGGTCAGCTGGGCTCTGCTGCTCGAGGTACCCAGAGTAGGAGGTGCCTGCTGAGAACACTCGAGGCTAACCTCTCCTTCCTGTCTCTGGCAGCTGACCAAGAATGGGACAGTGGAGTCGGTGGAGGCCGATGGCCTGACCCTGGATGATGTTTCAGATGAAGATATTGATGTGGAAAACGTGGAGGTGGATGATTACTTCTTCCTGCAGCCCCTGCCCACCAAACGGCGACGAGCCTTGCTGAGGGCTTCGGGGGTCCACCGCATTGATGCTGAAGAGAAGCAAGAACTTCGAGCCATCCGCCTGTCACGGGAAGAGTGTGGTTGTGACTGTCGCCTGTATTGTGACCCAGAAGCATGTGCCTGTAGTCAGGCTGGGATTAAATGCCAGGTCAGTCCAAGTTGGCCTGAGATGGTAGATCTACTGTAGAGGCCGGGGGATGTGATGTGGGTACCAAGGAACACGGGAGGCTGCCCATCATCCGTGGGTGGATTCCCCATGACTGGGAACACTCCCTGGTTCCACTGCCCTCCTCCACCAAGGAAAAACACGAAGCATGGCAGGATTCCTAGGCTGGGGAGGTAGCAATTAGCTTTCCTGTGTTTCTCACCTCAGAAGTGATAAGAAGCAGCTATCAGCAAATGGGAGAACATGGGTTAGTATGTTTAACATTAGTAACTGTTCCTTGAATATTGACTGATTTCATGAGCTGAAAGGAAGCAGAGAGATGAGGTGAGGCCTTTAAATTTTATCTTGCAAACACTCACAGGACCTCTACTCCAGTTCTGTAAAACTCAAAACAATTCTTGGCTTCTTATAATTCAGGATCGGACTTGGCCTGGCAGAGCTTTAAGTCCAGTGTCTTGAAAGATGGAAGACATCATCCCCTAGCCTGACAAGGGACAGTTTAGCAGGCGTATCTCCATTGAAAACAGCAGTACCATCCCAAAGGACGAAATTTATTTGGAACTTGTATACTGAGGATGTGGGTGCTGAGTCCTTGTGGTTGAATGTATCCTAATGAACCTTTTCTTTCTTATTTTTAGGTAGGTAATAGCTGTAGCAGATCTGGCCAAATAACTGCTTTTCAGACTGAAGTCCCATAATGAATCAGTCTGTTATAGTCCTGAGAATAGTCCTAAGAATTGGACTGCTCCTAAGAACTGGAATGGAGAGTTCTAGAAGTTGTTACCATAGGAAGACATTGTGTATTTGTATATACATATTTGCTTGTATTTTTTATTTTATTTTTGGTATATGTGGGCTTCTTTCCTTTTTGGGGTCCAAAAGGGAGATACAGAGGCAGAGAGGATTTCCTTCCCAGATGTTCCTGGTCTGTAAGTTAGTTATCTTAGTAACTGCTCCAGACCTAAACTGGTCAACCGTCAGGGGAAAATGAAGCAGGTGGTGAAAAGCTGGCCATGATTACGTTTGAACCGTCATTATAGCACCCTAGCAAAACTAAGGCACTTTCGCTTAGTTTCCCTAGGATATATTGCTTTGGACCAGCTAGATCTTCTACTTTCTTTCCCTCTCATTGCAGAAGCCAGTAGGCTTGGGCCCCAGCCTTTGTTTTCTCAATAAACTAGGTAAGTTCTCGAAAAGTCTCTGAGGCACAGAAATTTCTTCTACTCTGAGAACTGTCAGCATTCAGAGAGGTATCTCTGGACTTTTTAACTGGAAAGACCCTTTAACAGGATTTTTGGCTACATTTTATTTGGAAGAGGAGACAAAGCCCTGGAGAGATAAAGGACCTTCTTTTTTTTTTTTTTTTTTTTTTAAGATTTTGAGAGAAAGACAACACAAGCAGGGGGAGGGGCAGCAGGGGAAGGAGAGGGACAAGAAGACTCTGTGCTGAGTGCAGAGCCTGCTGCAGGGCTCGATCCCACGACCCTGAGATCATGGCCTGAGCCTAAACCAAGAGTCGGATGCCTAAGTGACTGCACCGCCCAGGGGCCCCCGAGATAGAGGCCCTTCCTGAGGGCACACTGCTACTCGGCGGCTGTGCCGGAACTGAAATGCAGGCGGTCTGGTAACTACCCCCTGGCGCCCTGTTAGGTCGCGCTGCACGTTCCGTTTGGTTCCCGGTTGTTCCTCTTTGAAGAAGACCTCAAATCCCAGCCGCCCGTGTTTGCCAGCTCCTGTCTGCTAGCCCCGTCCTGAAATCCGGTGGTCTCATCTTGCCTCAACCTTCTTGTCCTCTCCTCAGGTGGATCGCATGTCCTTCCCATGCGGCTGTTCGCGGGATGGCTGCGGGAACATGGCTGGGCGCATTGAGTTTAATCCGATCCGGGTGCGGACTCATTACCTCCACACCATCATGAAGCTGGAGCTGGAGAGCAAGCGGCAGGTGAGCCGCGCACCGGCCCCAGATGAGGAGCCGTCCCCCACGGCCAGCTGCAGCCTGATGGGAGCACAGGGCTCGGAGACACAGGACTTCCAGGAGTTCCTCGCTGAGAACGAGACGGCAGTGATGCACCTGCAGAGCGCGGAGGAACTGGAGCGGCTCAAGGCAGAGGAAGATTCCAGTGGCTCTAGCGCCAGCCTGGACTCCAGCATAGAGAGCCTGGGCGTGTGCATCCTGGAGGAGCCCCTGGCTGTTCCCGAAGAGCTGTGCCCCGGCCTGACCGCCCCCATTCTCATCCAGGCCCAGCTGCCCCCCGGCTCCTCGGTCCTGTGTTTTGCCGAGAACTCGGACCACCCCACCGCCTCAGCAGTGAACAGCCCGTCCTACTTGAACAGCGGGCCCCTGGTCTATTATCAGGTGGAGCAGAGGCCCGTGCTGGGGGTGAAAGGAGAGCCCAGTACCGAAGAAGTCCCAGCCTCTTTCCCCAAGGAGAAGGATCTGAATGTCTTCTCTCTCCCTGTTACCTCACTGGTGGCTTGTAGCCCCACAGACCCAGCTGCCCTGTGTAAATCGGAAGTGGGGAAAACATCCACTCTAGAAGCGCTAGTGCCCGAAGCTTGTAGCCCTGAGGAGCCTGAGGATGAAGACTTCCGCCCCTCGTGGTCCCCCTCGAGCCTCCCCTTCCGCACGGACAACGAAGAGGGCTGTGTGGTGGAGAAAGGCTCACAGCAGAGTGAGGACAGGCCCCCTGAAGATTCTTCCCTAGAACTCCCTCTGGCAGTGTGACGCGGGGACGGAGATTCTGCCTCTTACCCATTCTCTATTTATTCCCTTATTTTATCTAACACCATTTCAAAACAAAACTGTAGAAGCAGCTGCTACTCCCATGTTATTTTATTGGGGTCTCGGGGGGGATGGGTGGGAAAGATTTGTTTGTAAAAGTATTTTTTAAAGGGTAAACAGAACCAAGGAGACCAGTCCCAGCTTGATCTGGGGAGAGTCTTGGGGCAGAGGAGGCTGCACAGTGCTGAATACTGAGCTTTCTGGGCCACTGGAACAAAGAATGAGGATCTCACAGGAGAAGCTGGGTAATTCAAGCAGCTATTCTTTATGTAGGGACCAGAATACAGTAATTTGAACAGCATGGCAAAGCCCCTTCTCCTTTCCTGAGCTCCAGGTGGGGTACAAGCTCATTTTCTCATCAGTCACCCTGATACCCCACTTTGGTGTATCATCATCAGCTGGAATATTATCTGGTCAAATCTAGAGGGGAGTGGATAGAAGGGTCTCTGCTTCTGTAGAAAACCAGGATTTATAAAAATTTAACCTGCCTTCCCTGGCCCTGCCTATTTGGTAAATAAGTTAATATTTGACATGTTTGGTGTTCTCTGACCTGTTCCCCACACTGGGGATTCCTGGTCTGTAACTTGAATTATTTCTTTCACATGTTCTTAGGTACTAGAGTTAAACTTGTCTATTTATCTTCTTTCCCTCCTCCTTCCTTTTCCCTTGAAGAAAAAGCTAGATTGGCTGGGGATGTGGCCTAAAGAGCAGGAGTCTTCTGTCTGTGTCAAATGCCGGCTCTGTCAGGCGGCTTTAGGCTGGGACTCCCACGTCCTATGGGAGGCATACATGGAGCACTAACTATGTCCAAAAGAGGCAGCAGGGACAGGCTGCTGTCTGGAAAGACTTTATTTGTGCCACGCTTGCTTTTTCACCCAGGTTTTTCTCCCACTCTGGGAGGTTTGAGCTTTAAAGGAACATAGGATGTGGTAATCTAAAGTCACCGACTAATTTTTGTTTTTTCTGTATCTACCCTCGTGGTCCTTGGATATACAGGGTTGGAGAGTTCTTATACTGTTCCTGTCCACACAGGTTCTGCCCCCCTCAGCCCCAAGAACTGCAAATGTTTATTGGATCCCTCCATCTTGATATGTAAAAACTGGAAGCCAAACTAATTCTTAAATGCAGCTCCCAGGTTCCAAAGAATTCAAGTTCCGACTATAACCTTTGAGATCTATAAAGTGGGACTCAAATTCAGTTCTTACCTCTAATGGGGGGACATGGCTCCTGTTCCTCTTATGTCCAGCTTACATTCCAGGATGTGCTCCACTGAACACCATGGAATTCTTTTTATGAACAGTTCTCTCTGCCTCCCTTTGGAGGCAGGAGGGAGCAAAACACTCTTCTCTAGTACCCTTTACATCATGCTTCACTTCTGGTATGGTTTATTAACCAGCAAAGAACAAGTGAAAACCTTTTTGGTTTTGGTGGGGGAGAGAACTCTTCCCACTTACCTTGCTCACCAAGCCTTTTCTCGGGGGCCGTTAAAGCACCCTTTATGTAGGTCCCGGCAGCAGTTCACCTATCAGATCTCTCACCTGAGCCTGCGAGGCCTTGTACTTCAACAGATACATCTTTTAACCTAGTCTGCCTCTCCTGTTTATTCCCGGTTTTGCTTGGTTTTACATTTGGAGGGGAGTTCTTAAGTACAGGACCTTGTCTCCCCCCCCATCCTCTAGCCTCACAAAACAGTCTTAAGTACCTGAGATCTAGACACTCTCCCAAGCTGAGCACCACTCTCCCACGTTAGGCTGGCCCCTTGAATACGAGACTGAAGCTTCACTGCAAATTCGACTCTAGAGAAGAATCTTCCTGAAAGTTTGTGTTGGAAGGGGAGGGTGGGCTTTATACATTCCCTCCTTAGGAAGGCTCCAGCCTCACCTAGGAGGTGGATTCCAGCTGCTCAATAAGAGACACTTTAGCCTTTGGGATCAAACAAAGAATCTGAATCTAATTGTTAAACTGACTGCCAACCCCCAAGATAATTTGGTTTTTCTGAAAAACTAGTTTCTTCACTTGATCTTAGCCAAAAGGCCAAGAAGCGGTATCTGAAAAACCAGTTTCTTAATCCAAGTCCATCCCTCCATTAACTCAACAATTCTGACTCCTGCTGATCCCAAGTTTTTTAATGCTGAATATTAACACTGAGCATTAATCGTCTTGTCAAGCAAAGGGCCTTTTCTACAACCTAGTCCATCTCGTTTCTGGTGCTACCTGAGCTGGACAGAATTCTGGCTCATGGTTGCTAGAAAAGCTAAGCCTGGACCTCCTGTGATCAGGAGCAGATGGCTTCGGTCCCGCTCAGTCTAGGCCTAGATAAAAGAAATCTCGTATTATTCCAACTCATTATTTTCCAGTTTCCTTTCTCACATACTGTATACAGGTAGTATTTTCAATGTGAATCCAAAGCTTGTCTGGTTCTCTGAAAAGAATTTTTTTTTTTTTTTTTGCCTTTTTGGTCCTTTACATTGTGATAATGCTGTATTTAAAGAGACTATTTAAATGTAATATTAAAGAAATACTCAAAAGAACAGTGTGTTATTCTTTATCTTGGCAGGCTTGTTAACTTGTTAGAGAAAGGGTGTTCCTCTAGCGTCATATACAGAACTAATTAGGTCAGTTAGAGATTAATGTTAACAACATTATGGTGGAAAAACAGAACATTCTCTTTGGAGCACCAAGAGCTTTACTTGCATCATATGCCCTTATGTACCTCTTCAGCTGAAGCAGGCCTTGATCCTGCCCTGTTGGAGCTTTTCCCTTTCTGTAGTCCCTACTCTGGGGGCTCAATTGTTAATTCCAAATTCTCTATTCCTTTTTACCATCTTAAAGTCCAGCAAAGAGGATCAACGTCAAATCAGATCCCTCAGAACTTCCATCCCATCAGAAGCTTCTATTCCAACCACCTACCTCCCCCATTAGTTAGATTTGTCAGTCTTGTCAAAGGAGCTTTAGCAAAATAATTAGAGTATGCATAAGTCATTTCCAGCAACTGGTTTCAGGCAGTCTTTACTTGGATTTAAAACAGTGCTTCATGCATTTACAGTAAGTTACTACAGGTCAATGATGGACACAGACAAAAGCTAACCCCAACTTACACTGCAGGCCTCTCCGGTCTCCCAGGCGGGGCAGTGATTAGTACCTCAGAGGCTTAATCCGTGGCCCAGAGAAGGCGGCCACTGTCCCTTTAGAGCTGGCCTGCCGCAGCGCAGTAGAGGTAGCAGAGCTGAAGCTCCTTAGGGGCTGCACCACAGCGCAGGAATTAAGATGGAGGGGGGTGAAGGCTATAAACGCGGGAAGGGACAAGGAGCACTTGTGTTTCCTTCCACCTTTTCCATTAGAAAATTCCCATATATGAATGAATATTTGCTTAAAAAAAAAAAAAAAAAGATGGGTCAAAGATTTGGAAAGGAAAGGGAGTGGTTAACCCAGTGAGGGGACCACAAACAAAACCCAAAAAAACAAAAACCTATTTTTGGTCATCACAAAAAGGATTGAGGGCAGCATCGAAGTACACACATAGACGTAAATGCTCCAATTTCAACAGTGCCGTTGCCCTCACCAGCCAGAAACTGTAACAAAAACGCAGCTCCAAGACTACGGCAGTGGGTGAGCCCTGGGCCAGATGAGGCTTTTCACCTGGGGCACAAGCTCCCTTCCTAGGCTCTGAACTGAAACCATCACCATGGAGGCCCAGTAGAGGCCGCCAGCCGCCCCGGCTGACTCGGAGGAAGTCGGGACGCCAGCTCACGCGGGCCGCCTCTGCTAAGAGGGCTTGTTTCAGTCCCAGCTCCAGCACGGCGGCCGCGCTGGGAAGCCTGGAGCACCTGTCCCCCGCCTCGGGCGCACCTACCAGCGCACGCAGAGCCCCGGCTGACCGGTGCGGGTAGGTGCCACGCTGCTGCACTCTGTGGCCGCAGGACATGCCATCCGCCCCGCGTTCGCTCAGCGCCTTGTCCCAGTGTAGTTGACGGAAAGCAGGACCACGTTGTGTAGCAAGAGGGACAGCTCAGCTTCTGTAAACACCATCAGTGTTAATGGCCTGGCCAGGGAACAGTTAGCCTGCTAACTGCCTTGGTCGACGGGGCTTGATACTAGAGGCGGGAAGCCAAGTGCAGAGGCGTGACGTCAAGAGGTTACTGTTCTCAAAGTTCCCCTGCTTCGTTCCAGTCCCTGCATGTATGCTTTCCTTTCCTTCCACCAGATACTCCTTTCCACTCATCCTCATTTCTTGACTCTTAAGGGGTGGCCGCAGAAACTTCAGAGATGGTAATGATACTAATCACCCTTGGGATTCTTCTGGTAGGAGCTGCTGCTCTGGAAACATTTCTTGGCTCCAAGGAGATTAGTAGGCCTACCCTGATATTCACAGGCTTAGAAAACATCAAGGCCTAGCCAAAGGTTCCAACAAGAGCCCCACAGGCCTAATACCCACCCCCGGGTCTTTTTATTTAGCCAACTGAGTGTTTTTGTTCTGAATTTGAATGCCTTTAGACTAGTGCTTCTCAACTGGGATAATTCTGTTCTCCTCTGCCCCACTGGACATCCGGCAATGTTTGGAGACATTTTTGGTTGTCAGAACTGGCATGGAGGATGCTGCTGGCATCTAGCGGGCAGAGACCAGGGATCCTGCTAGAGATCCTCTAGTGCTCAGGACATTAGCATCAATAGTGCTGGGGCTGAGACTGCTTCAGACCGGCATGCGTGCTGTTTTGGGCTCCCACAATCCTCACTACTCCCTCCTGTCTTGCAGAGTCCACTTCATTACCTGCTTAGCTCCTGTAGGCAAATGAGTTTATGCCCTTTCAATTAGACATATATATTAAATAAGGGTCTCGTGGTACTCAATAATCAACTCCAAAATAATCTTAGAATCAAACAGAAAAATACTTTGGATTTAGTGGCATAACCACATGTGTCTTACCTTTCAGGCTGCAGGAAATCTGTAGCCACTCTCCCAGCCAAGTTCGACACCTCTCTTCAGCAATATGGGTAGAATTCAGGCCACGAAGATAACAAGCCTGTATCACTCAGAAGAGGAACAGTCCTCAATAATCACATAGCAAATATCCCCATGAACTGTAAGCCCACAAATAATTCAAAATCTCCTTTAAATAAGCTATAACTCCATGCCCACAAGAAACCTTTCTCTATAGCAATCTGAACTACGACAGACAAGCAAAGAGGCCTATATAATCAAAAACAGTAGGTCTAAAGAATAGTGTCCTCGGTTTTTGAAGGGCCAAAAGAAAAGAAACATAAACCAAAATTACTATGGGCAATTCCTTTTCCATGAGTTAAGTTCACTGAGAAAAAAGACACAGAAATGAGGTGAAAGAATAAAGAGTTTGGGCTTTGTTCTAACAAGCAAAACAGGGAGCTCTCTGTAAGCTCCCAGCCCCGTGCGCTCAAAAGCCCACCAAGGACTGAGGGTTGATATCGCGGTAAGTTCTTACCGATTTCACCTCCTGAGGAGACAGCTGGCCAATCCCCAGCTTTGCCAAAGCTTTGTCCAGTTGGTGAATTACAGTGGTATGAGTCCTTAAACGGTGTCTCAACAAGAAAGAAGGCAGATAAGGCGTGAGAAGCATGGCTCGGCTCAAGGCTTTCTGTAACACATCAACACGGGAGGAGAAAGTCAACATAGTTATTACCACATGCAAGACGTGAGGCAAGGTGAGGCTGCGGGACACAGAAAGCCACAAAGTGCTCACCATTTGCAAAGCATGGAGTTGCTTCATGCCCAGGGGATGGTTAGAGAAACACTCTCTCAGAGCCAGGATATCATGTATTGCTGGGTGGGTACCATGCTGTATCTTGGGAGAGGTGAGAGATTGGTAGAGGTTAGGAAGGTCCTGCCTGGCCCTTTTCCCTAGTTTCTCACAAGAGTCGGAGTTTGCAGGAAGGGTTAGCTGGAGGAATACCTTGGTGCACAGCTCCATCATATGCCCCCGGAGTCCTGCATCAGAAACGAGAGGGATAACCTTTTCTAAATAACAAAGGATTTCTGGGTGGGACTGCTTCCGGAGAGCATGATAGATATCTAAGAAATCAATTTGTTGCTTTGGGGTCCAGAAATGTTGGATCAGTAGCTGCCTAGGAAACAGGTACCTGAAAGGAAAAGGAATCACAATGTCACTTGCTGAAACCGGCATCTTTCTAAGTGATCCAAGAAAGCGTTTGGCGGACATGAACACTAGGAAGAAGAGATGGAGACATGACTTCCCTACCTCACTGTTCTTTTCTGTAAATGAGTCTCAGACCGAGGTTTAAAGATACACTGAAGCACAATTTCAGGCAACATTACTGAGGTTCTGTGAAAGGAAGCAGCAGTGGGACAGCCTCACGTGTAGTAATTAGATAAAATGACTTCATTTGAATTAAAGCATTTGAAGAACATCTTTTTGGACAGAGTTGGAGAGAGCGGCAGACGGAGCCACTCATCGTATGTGATGCTGACAACCTCAAACTGTGGCACAGTCTGTATGTATATATAAAATGTTCAGGGCAAATGTGTTTTTTAATCCATTTTTCTACATGTGCGGTGGTTTAAAAGCATGGCCGCGGACGCCTGGGTGGCTCAGTCGGTTAAGCGTCTGCCTTCGGCTCAGGTCATAATCCCGGGGTCCTGGGATCGAGTCCCGCATCGGGCTCCCTGCTCGGCGGGGAGCCTGCTTCTCCCTCTCCCACTCCCCCTGCTTGTGTTCCCTCTCTCTCTGTGAAATAAATAAAATCTTTAAAAAAATTAAAAATAAATAAATAAAAATAAAATCCTTGGAGATGCAGCGGGGCGCCTGGGTGGCTCAGTCGGTTAAGCGACTGCCTTCAGCTCAGGTCATGATCCTGGAGTCCCGGGATCGAGTCCCACATCAGACTCCCTGCTTGGCAGGGAGCCTGCTTCTCCCTCTCCCACTCCCCCTGCTTGTGTTCCCTCTCTCGCTGTGTCTCTCTCTGTCAAATTAAATAAAATCTTTAAAAAAAAAAAAAAAAAAAAGCATGGCCGCAAACTCTCTTGACATTGCTCTTATTGAGAAGTAAGGTCTATGTCCCCTTACTTTTTACACTTGATCTTAGCCAAAAGGCCGAGAAGCGATTTGTCCCCTTACTTTTTAAATCTGGGTGACTGATTCAACCAATAAAAGAGAGCGCAGTGAGTCTTTGTGACCTCTAAGGCTAGGTTATAAAAGGCCAAGCAGATTCTTATTTGCTGAAACACTCACCCCTGGAGCCCTGAGCTGCCATGTAAGAAGTCCCATTACTCTGAGGCCACCATATTAAAGAGGTCACCTGTAGGTACTCTAACTCAGAGCTCCAGCCTTCCAGCCATCCCCACTAAGGCACCAGACATAAGAGTGACCTTAGACCATCCAGATTAGTCCCTTCGTCAGCTAAATAAGCCTGAGGGACTTCTGTCAACACCACATGGAAGAGAAAAATCAGTCACCCACCTGAACCCTGCCCGATTTCCTGACCCACAAAACCATGAAAAGCTACTAAGCTTCAAGACTGTTTGTTATACAGCAGCAGATAACTAAAATAACAAGCAAGATCACAGTTTAAAAGTGTCATCTTTGGGGGCACCTGGGTGGCTCAGTCGGTTAAGGGTCCGACTCTTGATTTCGGCTCACGTCATGATCTTAGAGTCATGGGATCGATTCCCCTGCTGGGCTCCATGCTCAGCGGGGAGTCGCTTGAGATTCTCTCCCTCTACCCCTCCCCGCCATGCTCACCCGTTCTTGCTGTCTCTCTCTCAAAATAAATAAATTAATTAAAAAAATAAAATAAAATTGGGGCGCTTGGGTGGCTCAGTTGGTTAAGCGTCCGCCTTTGGTTCATTCAGGTCATGATCTCAGGGTCCTGGGATGGAGCCCCATGTCAGGCTGCTGCTCAGCGGGGAGTCTGCCTCTCCCTCTCCATCTGCCTCTCCCCCAGCTCATGCTCTCTTGCTCTCTCTCTCTCTCTCAAGTAAATAAAATCTTTAAAATACATACATAAAATAAAATTAAAATAAAATAAAATGTCATCTTTGGATACAAAATAAAATAATAAAAATTTATGTTATCAGAATATGAAATGCATTTCTCTCCTGAAACAAAAGATTCTCCCAAATTGCTATGCTTCTCAGGGAGTGGGCTGCTGCCTCTAGGGATGATGGAAAAGGTCATAATATTATCTCACATCACACAGGGGCAGCTAAGAGACGTGAAAAGTCTAAGCTACCTGCACCTACAGCTGACCCAGGAATAATTACTGAGTGGCTAATTAGAAGATTGGAGCAGGAAGTGTGATAATCTCTGCCTACTTCTGAAATGGAAAGTTCTTTAAATAATTTTTAATTTAAAAAACATCTATGTTTTGGGGCGCCTGGTCGGCTCAGTCATTAGGCGTCTGCCTTTGGCTCAGGTCATGATCCTGGGGTCCTGGGATCGAGCCCCACATTGGGCTCCCTGCTCAGCGGGGAGCCTGCTTTTCCCTCTCCCAATCCTTCTGCTTGTGTTCCCTCTCTTGCTGTCTCTCTGTCAAATAAATAAATAAATAATCTTAAAAAAGAAAATCTGTTTCTTCAATATGCTGGGAAAATAGAAATCTGTACTCACATTAGCAGGAAGACCAGGTAGTTGGCAAAGGGTGGAATGGAAATAATACCTAGGAAAAGACACTTGGTGACGTCTCGACGGAACTAAGCAGAAATAAAGACACGCAGTTTTAACCCAAGTTCTTAATACAATGAACAATCCCTCCCCCACACTGTGCAGTAAACTTCTATTGCAGCCCAGAGAAGGGTCAAGGTTATTTCTATCTACTTCTAGTTGGTAAGTTCCTTGAGGACAGAAGCCCTGATTTGTTCATTTTTGTATCCCAAATAATGTCTAGTACGGGACCTGACACTATACCAAATCCCTCAACAAATTCTTCTTGATATGCCGAATGGGTCCTAGGTTCTCACTCTCAGCTTCAAAACTATCCATCATGTCACCACCAAATGCTACTTTCCTGCTGCCTTTTGGATCCTTGCAGATTTTTATATATTCAGAAATGAACTGGGTTTTAGTATACACAACTTTTATTCAAAAAGTATGCCAGAATCTCTATGGAGCTCTGTTACAGAGGGCTACAACTCTGAATAAACCCAATTCTGACAAATAACCTGATGCTCTCATTTAGTTCAATACTTTGATCTCACACTGGAGGGGAAAAGGTTGATCAGTGGTGAACAAGATAGGAAAGAAAAAAGCTTGAGATCTTGATTAACTTGAGTTACCTCACCATGGACTTCTGATCTCTGCCCCTGGCCCATACCTGTCTCAAATGCTCCATCTCCCGGTATGGAAGTTGATGAAACTTTATATTGTGCTTCCACATATTTGTCTTTATTCTTCTAGCCTTTTTGGCATCAGCCCATATCATCTGCAATCCTGCCTCATTAAAGTAGAGGACAGAGTGTGACGTTATCCCAGTTTGAATCTTACCACAGCTTCCAACTCCATGTTTACCCACAACACACATATTAGTCCCTCCCCAACACTACTCTAAATCAGAGCTCTAAATTAGGACATTTGAAACTCTTGTGAGGCCAACCTATATCTCTCTTCTCATTCTTTATCCCCCCAGCACATCACCTCTCTGCCAGCCAAGTTGGCCTTCTATGATCTACTATGGGATGCTCTCCTTCTTCTGGTTCACTACTCACTCCCTCTTTAAAATAAAAATTCAAAAACTCACTAACCTCAGGAAATCTTGCTCAATTAACCTTATGTAGTCTCCAACCAGATATTACCTTATCTCCTTTCTAGAACACTTTCAGAAATACTGTAATTCAACATATTTCTGTTATTGCATTTTCTTTGTTCATCTGATGATAATTCTTACATTTTACCTAAGGCTTTACTTTTTAAAAATGCTTTCATATTTATGAATGAAATTATATAATATCTAGGTTGGCTTCAAAATAATACAGGAGAAGGCAAGTGTATAAATGAAAGGAGACTGGTGGCAACGAGTTGGTAACTGCTAAAGTGAGGTTGAGTACATGAAAATTCATATTATTCTATTTTTGTGTATATTAAAAATTTTCTATAATTAAAAGTTTAAAAACAGGGGCCCCGGGGTGGGTGGCTCAGTCAGTTAAGCGTTCTGCCTTTGGCTCAGATCATGATCCCAGGGTGCTGGGTTCCAGCCCTGTGTCGAGCTCCCTGCTCAGTGGGGAGCCTGCTTCTCCCTCTGCCTGCCCCACCCCCTGCTTGTGCTCTCTCTCTCAAAACTAAATAAAAATCTTAAAAAAAAAAAAGCTTAAAAACAAACCAACCAAAATACTTTTCCAGACCCTTTTCTCATTTAATCCCAGTTATAAACGTGGTAGCCGACAAAGCAGCCGTTCTATTTCTACTTTAGATTTTGCAAGTCCACGAAGCTAGTAATAATCATGATAATATTCACAGCTAACAACATGGTAGTTTATTGTAATTGCTGTTATAACAAAAGTATAGAGTACAATAATAGTTATAGATAAGTTTATTTTTTTTTAAA